AACTGTTGTATTCCAATGGATAAGCATGCCAAAGCACCATCAGGTTTCATCTGAAAAGACATTTCCTTGAAAGCATTATATAGTCTCTCCACAATTACTTGTCCTGTAGGACTTTGTGGTATACCTGCAACATGCTTCACATTATAGTATGAAAAACTGTTTCATTTTACCAGAGACACTTGCTGGAACATTGTCAGTCTCAATTTGTGCAGACACTTCCATAATTTTCACATTTTCAATGATTGTGCAATCTCAGAATCTAAGGAGAAAGCCCATTGGAATTCTGAATATGAACCTATGACATTGTGCATATATTTCAGCTCTCTAAACTCTGTAACATGAAGAACATAAGCCATTGTATGACCTTGTTCCAAGGTAACACCAAATAGGATCTGCATTTCTAATTTAGCATATGGACCTTCATTCAGTAATCGAACTTTTACAGTACACATATAATATCTAGTCTGACCATGTTGGCCTTTTTATCCCGTATCTCAATGGGCTGCCATTTTACAATTTCCTTAAGCCCCTGTGGACTTATCTCATCTGGAACTGTTTTTTTCTAATCTCTGTTCTATGGTCTCTAATCCAGCAATTTATTTCTCAGTCTCCTTCTCCAAGTCTGTCCCATTCTGATCTCTCCCAAAGAGAATGTACAAAACTGCCACTGTCACTGAAAATGATTATTTGTATGCTATGAGAAACAAACTCAGATGAAACTCGGATGCACTGTATCATTGTGTCATCCTCCATTTTTTTAAAATATTTTCTTTATTATTTATACAGTGTTCTGCCTGCCTGTGTGCCTGCATGCCAGAAGAGGCCATCAAATCCCACTACAGATGGTTATGAGCCACCGTGTGGTTGCTGGGAACTGAACTCAGGACCTTTGGAAGAACAGCCAGTGTTCTTAACCTCAGAGCCATTTTTCCAGCCCTGTCATCCTCCATTTTTAACATACAAAATATTTCTCAAAAATTTTTTTTCCTCTCCCTAAAGACTTTACTTTCCTATTTTCAAACCAAATACTTTTTTCCTTTTTCACCCAATTTCCTTCTCTTTTACTGTTTTCCAAACTCAATACCTTACCATTTCAGACACTTGGGACTTCTCAGTTTGCATCTCACACTGTCATTAGCCTTGGTCAGCAAGCTCATAGGCTGTTGTAGCTCATTGGCTCTGTTTTACATTCAACTCTGGCTGGAGCCACTCTGACTTTCAGGCCACAGCATGCCTCTCCTGTGTGGACCCAAACTGAGTTACAGTTTTCACACAGGCTACTTAGCTCTCTCTAGTGTGCTTTAAACGTTGCTGTGCTTGGGAGAAACCACAGCTACTGTGCCACTTGCTGCCCTCTGCTGGCTTTGCTGCAAGGCTGCGGTTTCTCTTAAGGGAGCTGAGCCTCTGAAATGTACTCTGCTTCAGTTTCCCACTCTTTGGCTGGGAAACCACCTTTCACCCAGGACTTCTCAGAATGTAAGATTAGATTCAGTGTACCATCTGTAGTAGGATGTCTATTTTTTCTTTAGGCCCCAAGCTCCCCAAATAATGACTCAGGAGACTCAAAATATATTTACAAATACTCAGGCCATATAAAATAGCTAGGCTCTTTGACTAGATTGTAACTTAAAATAATCAATTTATACTAATCTACATTCTGCCATGGGCTTGTTACCTCTGCTCAGGTACTGTAATTGAAGTTTTGGTTTCTTTAAAAACTCAGTTATGTTATATAAACACGTTTTTGTTTTAATCTCAAGTGTGGGATTTTAGTTTGTCCTTTAGTTTGTCCACAGCTGATAATTGCCTCATGCAGGGGCGTGGTCTTTGCTAGCTGGAGTTAGTTGAAGTCTGAGGACTCTGAGGGGTATAAACACGAGAACCCAGAGGGAGACTGGGCGGCAGCTTGGAGGAGACGGGAGAGGAGGCTTTGAAGAAAGAAGACTGCTTGCTGCATTTGCTGGTTTCCTGGTTACCTGGATTGCTGGATATTCTGGTGACTGAGATTGGTACTACCCCCAAAAGAATGTGTCAACCCTGCCCAGCCAGAAGAAGTAAAGCGGTCTATGTACCCTTTCCCTTCTAACCTTTTTTCTCTCCTACCTAGGGTTGGGGGGTTGGGAGGGAGGTAGAGGCTTTAGGAACCCCAAATAAATTAGAGTTTAAAAAACTAGCTCCTACAAGGTATCATGCATCTGTCCTCACATCTTCTCAGATGAATCTCTTGCACCTAGCTCTACCACAGAATCCTTTCTGTCTGTTGGATGTCCCACCTGCTATTCTACCTTTTCCTATGGGTCATAGCTTTTTTAATTGACAGGCAATGCATTCAAACAATACACAAGATATTTTCTCTACACTCTTCCTCAGTGGGACTGGTTGTTAGGGCTGGAAGATTTATCTCTATTGTTTTTGTGAGGTTCAAGTATTTTCCTGTGTGTTTGCTAGGACCTTCTGACTGGGTAAGTAGCTTTTGCTGTGAGTTAAGGAACTCTTTGCATGCCTGTGTACCAAGAGTCAGATCTGGCCCACCCTAGTTCCTCAGCTACTGTTAGGGCTTCTAGGAAATGTGGATCTTCCCACATACCTGTAGTCTTAACCCAGAGGTAAAAAAAAAAACAAAACAAAACCAAAAAACAACAGGCCCTTCCAAGGGCCCTCAGCTTTCTTTGAAGTTGGTAAAAGATGTGGAACTCCTCAAGCATCAATCCATTCATTTATTCTAAGAACTGTTATCTTTGCGGGTGCAGTGGCCCACATCTGTAATCCCAGAGCTCAGGGAGACAGAGGCAGGTGGATCTCTGTGAATTCAAGGCCAGCCTGGTTTACAAAGCAAGTCCAGGACAGCCAAGGCTACACAGAGAAGCCCTGTCTCAAAAAACAAAACAAAACAAAACAAAACAATACAAAACAAAAGTATTATTGACCTTCATTAAATGACTTGTTTCTTCTCCTTTGTCTTCCATCTTTGATACTTTGCTTTCTGCATCATCCATTCTGTTGATGGGATTTTCCACTAAGGTTTTTTTCCTTCTAAAATTGTTTCTATTTAAGAAATGTATTATTTCATGCAATACATCCTGATTGTAGCCTCCTCTCCATCTAATCCTCTTAGCGCCCCATCCCCTCTCTTCCCCAGATCTACTGTTCCCCATTTCCCTTCAGAAAAGAGCAGGCCTCCTAGTGATATCAACTTAAACACAGCATAACAAGATACAATAAGACTAGGCATAAACACTTATATCGAGGCTGGAGAAGGCAATCCAGCAGGAGAAAAAAATGTCATAGAAGCAGGCAAAAGAGTCAGAGAAACCCCACTCCTATTGTTAGGAGTTCAACAAAAAACCCAAGCGAAACAGCCAGTTGTGGTGGCAAATGCCAGTAGGATTTGCTGAAGGAGGTGGAGGCAGGAAGATCATGAGTTTGAAGCCAGCCTGGGCTTCACTGAAATTTTTATTTGGACTATTGAAAATTTCATTTTCAGCATCATTTCAGCTTGTTTTTTCTTCAGTAATTCTACCTCTTCATTAAATTCCATTTTTGTTTGCTGTACTGACTTACTTATTTTATCTCTCTGGTTTTGTTCTCTTGGAGCAAATTCACATTAAAAAAAAAAAGATTTATTTATTTATTATTTATACAGTATTCTACCTGCATATGTACCTGCAGGCTGGAAGAGGGCACCAGCTCTCATTATGGATAGTAATGAGTGACCACGTGGTTGCTGGGAATTGAACTCAGGACCTTTGTAAGAACAGCCAGTGTTCTTAACCTCTGAGCCTTCTCTCCAGCCCTATAGTCACATCTTATTTGAGGTTCTAAACATAGTTGTGATAATTGTGTTGAATTACTTGTCTGGGTTTTTTTTTTCTGGTCATTTTTATTATGGGTCATTTTTTCTGGGATTAGAAATTTTTGGAAGAGTCACGTTCTTGGTTTATCATGTTGTTATTGTTTCTGAGCTGAAACTGAAGCAGTTGAAGAACTTTGCTGGTTGAATGTTTCTTAATTTCTTCTTCTTCTTCTTCTTCTTCTTCTTCTTCTTCTTCTTCTTCTTCTTCTTCTTCTTCTT